GGGGCTAGTTTTCATAAGTCTGGGAAAAGATTAGTTAATTCTCCCTATAGCACCTGGGGCAAACCTATCTGCAGGAAGTAGAAACCCTAGGCATTCTTCCTCAACCTGTCTTAAACAGCTCCTCTCTTTTCTATTTGGCTCAATACAAACCTCAGAAGCTGAGACATTTAGCTGGATCCTAAATATGTCCTTAAACAAATGTCTTCACTCCTGCTTTGACTATGGAAAATTAAGTCAAACTTTTAATGATGAGTTCTAATTTTCCAGTAAAACTGAACCTGAGGCACTGAATTCTAAACGCCTACTCTGCTGATCCCTGATTAAGTCTTTACTAGTCTCAGTCATCAAAGAAAGGCATGTGTCACTCTAAATCTCAGATATATAGCACTTCATTCTTCTTACACAGTTTTATTTGAGCAAGTTCCAGGATCAGTTTTAGAGTTACATGGAGGATAGTGGCACTTACATGCATTCATTTACTCTTTTTCACATAAACTCCGTGAGTCATTTCTGTAGAGCTGAGTAAATCAACAGTATTTTCCCCCTCTTCGATAAGAAAAAAGTTTACTTTTTAAAAAATTGATGATGTGTCTGTAGTATGTCCAGAGATCCCCATCCTATCTACTGCTCATACTGCCAGGGTGTAACAAAAATAAGATTTTTAGAGGTATTGACATTGCAACTGCAGTTCAAAGAATGGTTGGTAGAAGGGTAGTGGGATGTCTTTTAACCCTATTTTAACCCTACACCCCCCCCCCCCCCAAAAAAAAAAAAAAAAAAAAAAAAAAAAAGGCAACCCAAATTAAATGAAACATAGCAAGTACAAGTTGGGAGAACTGCTTCATCCTGTAGGCATAGTACAAGCAGAGTACAAGCTTGTCTTGGACTTAATAATACCACCACAGAGCCCTTTTCAGTTACTGTAACAGTCAGACTCAGTGTGAAGGATGGCCCCATCCTTTTCATCTTATTTGGATACATGAAATGTTGGTTTTGTTATTTAAGTATAACGTGTAAACTGCAATACAGATATAAGACAGACTGGTCCAGAACGTGGTCCTATAAAGAAAAGGTTTTCTCTATTTCTGATCACCAAGACTTTTTATGAAGTAAACTAGCAAGTAAGATTAGATGAGAATACCTTGGTTTTGATCTAAGTGTCTCCTGCAGAGGAGGGTAGTATTAAAATTTACTGATTATCTAAGGTCTCATGATAGGGAAAAGATGGTCATGAAAATACTTCCCTTTGTTACTGAACAGTGCCATATAAGCATAGGAAGCTAGTGGCCTGGAAACTTGCCACCACGTGGCTAAAAAATTTCAGTTACGCAGTTCGAATAGCAGCAGCTGCTTTAAATTTAAAGGGCAAGAATTAAACAAGCCATGACTTCAGTGGGAATGAAATGAGCCCTAAGTTTGCTTCTTCTATCCTCTTCGTATTTAGCTTCTCCTCCATAGCCCCCCTGTACGTCTCAAAAACACACAGAAACACATGCTGCCAAATCCAATGGCCAATTGTTTTTAAAAAGGGGATATTGTTCTCCTTTGGACTTAACTGTAGCCTCATCCTCACACAAGCCAGCACTTTCCAAGTCTGTATTTTCCTCTGCTGCAGTACATCCAATGTAATCATGTTTAGTACTTTCCAAACAACAAAGCAGATGTTCCCTGTAATGCAGTTTTTGAAGAATGCACATGAGGCTCAAGCCAGTGACAGTGTAATACACCAAATGCCTGCAAAGGAATCCACACCGCCTCTGACTAACAAGTTTTCTTACTGAAGTCATTTTAGGGGATGCCAACATTAAGGATAAAATATGCAGAAAAAAGGCCAGATATTGCCTTGAGGGACCTACTCGTCAATGCACCAGAAACTACACAATGACTCTTCCAGAACTGGTGGAGAAGTGCACATGTGTAAAATATACCTTTTGCACTTTAAGACATTTTACCAGCAAACTGTTTCAAATTAAACCCAGATGAGTAATGGTAAAGCAATGAGGTTTTCCCTGGGTTCAGTAAAAACAGCTGCTATTGCCGCTATTAATCATGTACGTGTGCATTAAAAGGTCTTGTATGTCTGAGAAAAGCATCTCAGTCAGGTAGTAGCAATGTACAACAGCTTCTGGGACCTCTGCCTATAGAAAAAAAACCCCAGACTGCTTGCTGACAATGCATCCCTTCATGCTACTTGTACTTGAATGCATTTATTCCGATGCTCTCATCAATAATGTTTTAAAAATCAAATGCTTCATAACTAAATTCTCATATGAGTGAATAACACTCTTCCGAGTTTTATTTTATAACATGATGTGAAAACATATACACTCAACAACACTCAGTATACTACTAATTGAAAGACCACTAAACCGTAAGATTTCTTATAGCAAGACCAAATAAAAAGAGCCTTGAAATACCATTCTGAAATGTACTGTGGCCCATATCCATTACTTTACCCTAAGAAAGAGTTTGTGAAGACTCTAGGTATTTCAAATCTAGAGTTTGCAAACTACATTTATTCCTTAATATTAGTAGCCTAGAGTTGGTTGTTTCAGCCAAATGTGACTGACAAGTCAGTATATCTCTGAAGTTTGCATGGGAAGGGAGTTTCTGGTGCAACTGTATGAGTAATCACTCTGTCATGAATAATTTGTTTTTTGTGAAAGTAGCAAATCATTAAAAGGCATTTCAGGTTTCATTGTTTTCTGGTTAGTTTTCTGATAGTATAGAATTAGAAAGAGCCGAACATCACCTTATTTTAATACATACATTTGTGTTCTCTACCACAGGTACAGAAAATAATTACTTTCTACAGTGCAGGGGTTACAAAGAGACTGATTGAACTAAACTTTGTACCTATTCCACATACCGGTCATCACCAGAGGTGAACTGTGAATACTGGAATGTCTTTATCTCCCACTTGCTGTGAGTCAGCTGCAAGACATGAAAGCCTAGAGCCAAAAGTTAGCTGTGTTAAGACCACTGGGTTTACACGAGATTGTTTTGTTTGGATACCTAGTTGGAGACTTTTAACTTTTTTCGTTTTAAAGCATGGAAGAACTGCTGCATGAAAATGGAATAGAAAACTAAAGAGGGATTTCTTCAAACAAAAACAAAAGCCTGTTTCATAACTGCTTAGAGGGTAGAAGTCTGCCTCTGCACTGGTTAGCAGAGGATAAATTCTTTGTTCTGTGTAGCAGGGAGATACATAGATGTGTGTGTCCATGTGTTTTATCAGCAAGGCACTGACAACACTCATAATGAAACACAGAAGATAAACTAAAGGGCCCCAAAATTCCTGGACAATGTTCTCTCCATTTGATGAATTAATGTCTACAGCTTGAAGAGTATTTTCAGTACACCTTTTCTTTTAAATTAACCTAATCTCTAATGAAAATGTGGGTTCACACTTCAATCAGAACCAAGTCCGTTTGAGCTCCACTTGTCTCCAAAACAGGTCCTTTCTTTCAAGAGGCAAGAAAAGTCCTTCTACCACTGAGGGACAGGAAGACATCCAAGTCTCCGGGGCTAGTCACTGTATTAGCAAATCTGGCTGGGGGAATGTGGATGACCATGCAGTCTGGAAAGCAGGCCACTCCTAAACCATTAACAGCCCTGAAGAGTAGGATTAGGGACATAAACTTTTGTGAAGACTTGAGTGTGATGGCAGTTCTCACTCTGCCATGAGTGCCATGAGTTCTTACAACATAGGTTTGATTCACAGCAGCGTTTGGTGTTTCTGACATAGCTCACACCAGCTCCTGTGTGGGAGTCATGCTCTGTGTCCACGAGAATGGTGGTCATCCAAGTCTGCTAGTCACCAAGAAAAACATTTTCCCTATCATACTATGGTCTGATCAGAAAGATTTTTCAAGCCAGCTGGAGAAGTATAGAAGCATTTCTTATTGTAATTGCGACTTATTTGCACATTTGGATATGGGGTAGAGTTTGAGAAGTTTTCTGGGGTTTCTTAGTGCCTTAACCATCTCTGGTAGGAGGCAGTGCTCTTGATCACTGCTTTAGAAAGATTTATCTGGGAAGAACTGCCAATGTTTTCTTCTAAGAACATTTCTGCTAGTAGATCAGAGAAACAGAAATATCACTGGGAAGTCTTTCAATTTGCTGAGGATGAACCTTTCTGCAGGGAGTGAAATTGCACTAATGTTGGAAATGCTGCACTGGTAAAGAGATACTTGTTTGGGTCCAGTCTGGAGAACAGGAGATAATTTGAAACAGTGTCACAGTTTCTCCAAGACCATAACAGAGGTGAAAGGATGAGAAAAAGGACCTTTCTTAGTGGCTGTTGTTAGAGTGGCATGACATTCAAAAGCAAGTACTCCTCAAAGATCTGTGGGATGAAAGAAATGGCTGACTTTTAAAAATTTTAATAGGTTGTTTACAAATGAACCCATTAATTTCAAAGTACTAGTGCAACTTCTCAGCGTTGTCCTACAAGGAGCCCTTCATGGGTTGCACATATTACTTCCATATGCAAGGGGACAGAAATTGGTAACACCAGGAGACATAACCATATTCACAGAGCTTAAAGAAAATAGTAGTAAACTACTATGCTGTCTGATTTTTATTACTAGTGAACAAAGGATAAGAAAGGAGAAAAATGAAAAATAAGTGCCGATAGTATGTAAAAACACACTTCTGTTCAGCTTCTTTCTGTAACACTGAGCCTCTTACTATTGTCTTCATATTTTCCAGTCATTTAATAACTGATGATCCACACAAGGCTATCAAAATTGACTGACCTTTGTTTTGGAGATGATGTCCTTCAACAGCTTTACAGCCTAGCCTTCTACTGATAAAGACAGAAATTGCCATCTTTGAATTCGTTTGCGCTTCACTCTCCCTATCTCTCTCAGAAAAAAATAATTAGCCTGTGTCTGCCAGTGAACTGCTGTTATGACGACTATTCTTCGCTCATGCTGCTGTCTCAGTGCAGGTGCTGCATGCAGACTGGACTGTGAAGTTGTGTTGTTATACTATACCTGTTGGCCAAGAGCTGTGACCTAGTTCCAGAAGGAGAAGTTAGGTAAATTGCCAAGTCTCCACGTCGAGGGTGAGTAATAGTGATGCGTACAATGACATGCTCCAAGTAGATCACGTGGTGGTTAGGATTATCAGAACAGCCAGTGGCTTTGTAAATTGAACGGACAATGCTGTCAGGTCGTATTGTTCTATAAAATAAGCATATAAAACAACATCAGCATTTCTTGCTTGTTCTGTAAAAAAAGACAACCACATGTTTTTTGCTTAGTAGTGAGTGACAGTGTTGGACAATTGTTTCTGAGAAGTCAACATGCATTAATTTTAACACTTCCCAGCTGAAACTATCACCACAGGGTAATTATTTTATTGCAGCTAATGGCAACTACCTGGCTTTCTGTTAAGCATGTACATATGCTAAGAGGACAGTAAAATAGGAATAAGCCTTTGGGACAGAGCATTTTTGTGGATTAGTGGCCAGCTGGGAATTGCTGGGATTGTCATGGGATCACAGCTGGTTGTTAAGCCCCAGGAAATGCCTGGCATAGCCACAGTCCTTGCTAACGTAATAGCGAGTATTACATGTTAACTGCACCAAACAGCATCTGACTCAGCTGGTTTAAATTGGCACGACATCCTTGCAGACTATACCAGTTATGGATCAAGCCTGTCAAGCACATTTATTACACAATAATCTTAATGCTTTGAGAATGTGCCTTATGACTGATGCCGTCTCTGTATCCACAGAGTGCACATACAGAATTTTGCTCTTAAACCTGGTTTTATGGAGACCCTATCCTAGCAAGGTGTTACAAAAGTCATAGTCTCTGAGGCAGAGACTCTCTTGAGATTGTTTGAGAGAGACAATATCATACAGTATTTTAATGAAAAGAGTATTTGCTTGTTAGATCATAGACTGATAAGTCTGTACTCATTTTACAAAGGTGACTGCAGTGCATCCAATCAAACATTCTTCTTCTTTGGTGCGACATCTATACCAGAATCAACCATGATCCAGCCTGGCTTGCTCTGGGGTGTTCTTTAGACTAGGGCTTTTTTCCAAGCACTACAGGGAACGTTTACAGACAAACAACCTGGCAGTTGTGAAGGTGGCAGATCCCCAGCATAGCTTTCAAACCAACACATTACACACAATGCAAGGGAGGGCTAAATTATACCCAATTTCTTTCCATAAGTTTATGCCAGCAAGAGTTTTGGTAGCGGGCATTACTTGATTTGCCGATCCGTGTTCTCCACACACACATGCTGTGGAGGGACCGTTGTCCACTTTTCTGCTTCTATCACCATTGCTTCAGCATCCATCAGTCCAAAACCATAGAGGTGGCTCACTGCAAGGTACAAACATAATGGCTGAAATTATAGCATAAAACCTTGGTTTTCATCATTGTCTAACTCCAGAGTCACATCCTAACAGAGGCTGCTTTTTTTCTACTTCTTCCTTGCTTTCACACAAAGCTCAAAAATCTCCTTGCCCGAAACAATAATGACTATATATAATTTATTCACAGAATCTGTTCACTGCTTTATTGAAGAAGTGGCAACTGACCATCGTGACTAACACTGCCTTACCATGAGGACTGTGGACCAGAACTGCGGATTGCCAGGGAGTACAATTGCCTCTGAATGACCCTTGCCCATGTTCCTTGATTCAGCACAGTCCTCTTATATGACATGTTAAAAGGTGTAAAGAACCAGAAGAAGGTTATTTCTGTTACTGAAATACCAAACACATGTATGTATGTACATAAATATGTATGCGTGTACAAAAATATTGAAGGTAACAGAGACAATAAATTTAAGAAGGAACAGTCTGTCTTTTGTAATGGCTGTACACTCTTAACCTTCCTGAGTCTAAGCAGCATGTGGATGCTCTCCTATTTCTTTATGCAGTATGGCCGCCACTGGCCACCAACCAGATAGACCCAACATCTCCCTAAAGCTGTCTGCATGATGAGGGTGAAAAGCAATGGTATTTGAAGTCCAGGGCTCTAAAGATAATCTGGTTCTCATGCAGAGCCTGTGTCAGAAGGGCTCCTTCCTCCACCTCCTTTGTAGATGTGCAGATGTAGGGCAGATCTGCAGATAAAGTTGGTGCTGGAGAGAGCTGTTAACATTGCTGTCGACCTCTGATATTACTTACTGCATGCATTTCACACACAATGGTACAAAGGATCCATGCCTGGAGGTTAGCACTCTGTTAATACTCATTCCTGGATATTTCATCCTCACCTCTATCTGCCTTTCCTGCCACAGAGAGCCAACAATGGCCTCCTTGCAAGAAACTCAGTGCCTAGTAATTTAACTTTAATGTCTGAATGCCTTCTACTCAAAGAACCAGAAGGCTTTAAACCATCATCTTTCTTAGGATACAAAAAAATAGAACTTTCAAATGACCAACATCTAGACAAGGTGAAGTACTTCCAACAGACAATTCTGTATCTTTCACTTTTTTGTTATTTGAAGAGTATTTAACTTAATTTCAGAAGTATTTCAGGAGTTCCAGCAATCCACAAAGGCTAAAAGTTTCATTTACTAAATCAGCTGTATGTTTTTGGTTCCTGTTCCAATCAAAACAGAAGCTTGCAAATGGATTTTGATTAATTAGAAAACCTGCTAGCCACATTGTTTTGTTACGACAAATGAGTGATCTAGGTAACGTTCTGACAGGAGAAGGTGAAAGAAAAAAGCTTCCAGAGGGAGGAGTTCAGATCACAAATATTAATAAATCAGTTTTGCTGTTACGACAGACAGTGCTACCAGAAAACCCTCAGAAAAACATAAGTGCTATTTCAATCAGTAATGTGATGAGGCATGGTGTAAGTCTTTCCAACTGCACTTTGCAAAGGGTTTGTGAAAGCAGCCTCTATTCATTGCCAAACCAGAATTCAAAGGACTCCATCCAAAAAAGCCCCAACCTTGTCAAACAAATAACAGCCTAAAGCATAAAAATAATCAGTACTTAAGGATCCCATCTTCCAAATATGGCAGTATCTAATACTGTCTGAAATTGCAACTGAGGAGGGTTCCTCAACGGAAAATACTGCAAGGCGTCACAGCTGTTTAATGAACTGGTTTTCTTCCCATCTCCTTCCCCTTCAGCCCCAAACTGTAGTGCACATAGCATGGAAATGTTAATTTGGAGAGAATCAAACCTCTTCTGCCAAATGAGGCAGGTACCATTTTCAGAAATCAAACACAATTAAAATAATTAAATTCAGCCCTTTTCAGCCTTATGAATTCTCTTTAATGTATTCCATATACAAATAGACAGGGAAAGAGATTTCCTATTTTCTCACGTGGGTGGAGGCAGCTGGAAAAAGGGCAAGGAAAGCTTAAATAGAGAAAACGTACTGACGGAAATCCATTTGGTTATAGATATCATCTTGCAAAAACTGCATCTGCTGATGACAGAAAATTTATCTGTGAAGTCATTTGTCTGTTCTTACACTGCATGCATTGCTCTGATATTTAAAAGTTTAATTAATAATCATTTTGTCTGCTGTGAAGAACAATGGGAGGAACAAGAGTGTTAACTCACATCGTTTGTAACTGTGCACAGCTACTCTCTGTAGTACTAAATTTAAAGTGTGAGGGATTAAATTTTCATGAATGGAAAAATCTATTGAGCTAACCCATGGAAAATGCATTTTTAATTCCTGACAAGTGTAACTTGCATTGGGTTAGCACTCAGGATGTCCAATTGTACAACTGCTGTGTGTTCAGCCCAAATACTGAGCTCCAAGAACAGCCAAATTTCTCTTCAACTCACCTCTTCTCACCTAGAAATAAGGACAGAAGAGATACTAACATTACCACCATCTGGCAGTGACCTTCTGATGGAAACCTTTAAGGCACTTAAAAATTTTTTTGCCCTGATATGCACAGTAAAAATACAAATAAAATCTAAAGAGTGAACTTTCTCTCTTTCCCGCCCTAAAAATTACTTGGAAGATAGGATTATGTTCATTTTTCATTCAGGAGAAAAATTACCACCCAAGGTTATATGATTGTGTTAATTGTCCACAGTTCAATGCTTAAAGTCTCTTGCATGAGAGCAGAGGTGGGAGTGCGAAGTTCTGCACCTGCTGGCTTTTTTTCCCACAGCTGAAACAGAAGTACATTTTTTTCCTTGAAAGGCTTTCTTATTGAAATAAAAACTTCCTGATAGTCAGGGGTGCTCCTAAATCCTTCCATGTGGGAAGCTTCCAGGCAGCTGACATTTGGCTGTCTGCAACATTTGCACTTCAAAGCCCTTGATCCAGGGGGTTGGTTAGCAGCTGCAGGTACCAGCAGAGACCCATAATTTTCAAAGGCTAAATAATAGCAATTTAGGAAAGAATCACAGAGTTAAAACAAAAGTAGTTGATCTCATGTGTCTTCGAGAAGAAAGCAGATGTTTCCTACTGCCTTCAGATTGCTCCCCTTCATCTGTGTATATACTGGTACTGCTGTGAACTCTATGCCAGGGTGCCTCTCCCAGCAGTTAAAAAGGACCTCAGTGGTCCACATGGGACCACAAATGTCTTTGGGAAGACATCTGGAACTGCCACTGATTTGTATGTGAATCATACTGAGCTCACTTCTGCTAACCCAGATAGAAAAGCAGTATTTGAAAGGTACTGATGATTGCAGAGTGAGATAAGATGACTCCAAGAATGAAATGCCTCAGGTCCCTGCACATACCCACCTATGTGCTCTACATTATTGCTGCTGTGAATTGCTATGGAGCTTGGTTGTTGGTAGGAGTCATTGAGCATGTCAGAGGAGGTATAGGGCTGTTTTGTAAGAAGATTTTCGCCTTTCAATGACAGAATAGGAATGTGATGCTGGTGCAGTGTAAGCTGTTAACTAAGGAATAGACTGTTGCTGTTGCTGAGCTGAAGGGTCAAAAACTATGATCTCCTTGTGATGAAGGTGTCTACTCGTGCAGCAAACTGATCCATTCCTTTTTCTGCAAAATCTCAGAGCTTCATAGCTGCAAGACAAGTTTCAGAGGAGAACTTGACTCCTGCTGCACAAACTAAACATTGAGCTTTAGCTGACCTCTTTACTCTTCTTTCATTAAAGAAAATAACATTTCTGGGAGCTAAAGTCCATTTATTTATCCTTGGAGCAATTAACCTATTAGTGCACCATGAAATCAGGGCCTGCTTGGCTGCTGGATAGACTTGCCTGTTTTATTCATAATCCCTTTGTTTTTGTCTGAAACTGTTAAATAACTTTCTCATTTATATGCAAAGATACATAAAGCTACCCCCAAATCTAAAGACAGCACGTATATCCCACTTGACTCGACTAAGAGAAATATGAATGGCTGCTGTTGATAAATCATAATGCAGAATCGTGCAGACTCCAGGAAAACTGGGCCCAGACACTGAAAACATAGCACTTCCAGTGCCTCAGTGCAGCTAAATGTGATTTGTTAGGCTGCAGTTTCATTGCCTGTCATCAAGATGTCTCATCAGTAGCTTGGATGCTAAACCTCCCTTGCTATTTTACTCATCTGACAAACAACATTGCGGAATATTTTCTCCCTACTATATTTTCAGCCTTTAATTTTCTGTTCTGTGAAGGCAGTATTGGAAATATAAATATTTTGTATACACATATCAAATACTAAATCAGGAGAAAAATGGTAATAACTTCAGCTTGTCAAATAAATATGCAGCTTTCCTAAACCACATTCAGCTGTTTGATATGTAAATTATTATGACTTGTTCATTTATGTTACTTTAGCATCTTGAGCAAGTCTCATCCAAAATAGGACCAGCAAAATAATAGTTTAAAATGCCCCTTATACTGTGTTTTTCTTAAATGTTGCTTAACAAGACTAGATGTGAGACTCTCAAGGAACTCATCCTATAAATACCTCAAACTGACCTACACCAATATTTCTTTTATATTTGACATTTTATTTGAAAATATAAAGCTGTAATTTTGTTACTTTTAGTTTCTGTCATTTTCTTAATACGTCAAAATGCTTCAATCAGGACTGTCTAAAGAAAAGAGAAAAAAAGGAGAAATGTTATGATGACACATGGCTTAAATTATTTTTGTTTTGTTTTGTCATGTCTGAACTAAGAGAACATTGATCTTGAATAAGAATTCATCTTGTTTCAGTCATATTCCCTTTTCGTGTCAACCTATGACCAGCAACCTGTGATAACTGGATGTGATTTCTGAAACACATAGCTGATTTACAAGCCAATAACACAACTGTGCAAGAACATTCTTTTTCATTGTTGCTTGTAAAACCAACTCCCTCATGCTTTTCAGATTAAGCATACTATTTGTATTTTTATATTTTTACACAGAACCAACCACTCAA